AGCACTGGGTGTTATGCACAAACAATGAATCATGGAACACTTCATCTAAAATTAATGATGTAATGTATGGGGATTAACATAAGAATAAAAAATAAATAAATAAATAGAAGGAAGTTTCAGAATTTGGGGAACTATATTTGGTTTTTGGAATCATTCACATTTCGCCAGTGATCATGTTTGAAGGTCAGCAGACCTTCTGAAGGTCAGAATGTGCGTTTCGTTCTAGTCTGTTCTGTTCTTTTCCATTCCTTTCTACTGAAAATACATATTCTATTGAAAATACAGGTGGTAGCTTGGGAGGGAACCACCTTAGCAAATGAGCCAACAGACCTGCCAGCTAAGTCTCTGGCTGTCAGACCAAAGGGTTGGGAGAGTGCCTTGGGGAGCCCCTGTACTATCCTGAGATCAACCTCCCTCATTCAAGTTGACCTCTTGTCCTTGCAGGCATGGGAGACATGGCCGTGTCCAACTCTATTGGGAGCAACGTGTTTGATATCCTCATCGGCCTTGGTCTCCCATGGGCCCTGCAGACTCTGGCTGTGGATTATGGATCCTACGTAAGTGGGTTTCCCCTGTGATTTCTCTTTAAATCTTGGGCTCTGCAGACTCTGTTTTCAGGGCAAAGGAGATGAGAAAATACTAATGCTGGGAGGCAAACAAACTCTTCCTCATCAAAGTCCTTCCAAAACCAGGCTTGCGGGAACATTCAGGACTCAAGTACAGGGTTGGCAAACTTCTTCTGGGAAGGGCCAGATAGTAACACTTTAGGCTTTGTGGGCCAGATGGTCTCTGTCACAACAACCCACCTCCGCAGCTGTAGCCTGAAAGCAGCCATAGACAATGTGCAAATGAGTGAGCATGGCTGTTTCAATACAACCTTATGTATAGAAACTGAAATTTGAATTCCATATAATTTTTACATGTCATGATCTATGGTATAGGATTCTTTTCATTCTTTTCAACCATGGAAAAATACAAAAATCATTCTTAACTCATGGGCCATGCAAAAATAGGAGGTGACCAGATTTGGCCCATGGGCCATCCTCTGCCACCCCCTGTCTAGTGTGTTTGCTTTGTGGGAAAAATAATTTCATTCATGGAGGAAGGGACACAAAATACAAGATGACCCCCCTACCAGGGGTCTGGCGACAGACCCCATGAAGATGGCCTCCATGCTTTTTCTCAAGGCTAAGCTGATTGTGACTTCAGGTAGATTTACAGGTGAGTGACACGGAGGGTCTAGCTCTCTTTCCCAATTTGTTAAAATGTTTGCCCTCCGCTAATGGCAGCTCTGTCCCAGACACTCACTATCCAAGGACTGAGGAAGAAATTGCAGTTGGAGATTTTTGCCTAGACATGGGAATAAAAGAGTAACATGCCTCCAGATCTGTTAGACCCAACTCACTGCTGGTGTTTCTCCAGATGTGCTGCCGAGCATTACCTTAGCCTATCTGCACAATTTGTTGTTAAGCAATGCTATATCCTATAGAAAATACTGTGGCTCATTTTATCAGATGACAGTTGTCTTCCAAGCTGCTTGACAAATGGCTGTTTCAACCAGGGAAGGTATCCAGACAGTTGCAATGAAATTGAAATCCATGCAGACAGTCCACGTGTTTTTGGTTCATCTGAAGTTACCCACTGCCTGAGAAATTTCACCAGAGGGTAAAGATAAGCACAAGAAGATGGAAAGAAGCAGAATATATTCTAAGGAGTGAAGATCTCTGCTCTGTTGTCAGTGAAATTGGGTAATGACATGGTGAGAGAGGCCACATTCCCTGGGGGGGAAGCTGCTTTCAGGAGGTAACTATGACATGAAATCTGAATAACTAGAGAGAACCAGCCAGGGGGATATTGGGGCAGTGTGGAGCATTCCAGGCAGAAGGAACAGCCAGTGCAAAGGCCCTGAGGCAGAGATGCACTTGGCATGTTGGAGAGACAGAAGCAAGTCCAGTGTAAGTGGAGTAGAGTGAGCATAGGGGAGGGTCCCATGGTTTGACAGGCAGTTAGGAGGCTAGGCAGGGACAGATCATGTGGGTACTCATCAGACAATAAAAAAATGATGATATTCAAACTTACATAACAATATAGATTTAGAAAATGATGTTTTTTATGACTTTTATGAGAGATTCAGCAGCATGAGTTTTAATCCTGCCCTAAGGTATAAGGACCCCTTAGCCTTGGCTAACTGTAATGTAAACAGATATCCACCAGGAAGGCCAGTTCTTCAATAGCCCCCAACAGTGCACTCTAAACCTCATCCCTCCTAGACTAATTGCTGTCTCAGACATTGCAGAGAGCCAGGCCAGTGCCCCTCAGAGTCATTGTCCCTGAAGGTGATCTCCTTCAGAGGCAGACTACTCTGCCTCAGAGGCACACATTCACTCTCCCATTGGAAATGATGTCCCTTCTTCCAGGTGTGTCTCATTGAGAATTCCTCTCTGGACCCTCCCCATCACCACCATCAAATGGGGCCTCTCTCCATAGCCTTTCTTTCTATCTCACTCATGGCCCTTGTCCTAAATCTTGAATTTGTTTCATCTTCTTAAGTGATGCATATAAGAGAGACACTGAAGAAATGCCCTCCATGTTGGCCACTGAAAGGACATCATCCATTAGGTGGTCACAGGGTTCCAGATAATGTTCCGAAGGATTTTATGAGTGACGTTGTTGTCAGTCAGGCACTTATGAAGGGACTCACATCAACCAAATTCACAGGAGTTTGATGTCTGTGCTAGAATGGCAATAGATGGTAGTAAGATATACAAGTGCCAGATAAAAAGCATACTTATTCTGGACAATTTGTGCTCCATTTTCCTGGAGAAAGATCTTAATGCGGGAGTTATTTTGTTTTTCAGGTTTTGTTTAGTTTTTTTGTTTGTTTTTTCTTTTTTTTAATTGAAGTGTTAGTTGACACAAAATGCTAGTTTGAGGTGTACAGCATAGTGATTCCACAAGTCTCTGTGTTATGCTGTGCTCACCACAAGTGTAGCTGCCCTCTGTGACCCTACAACACTATTACAATACCACTGACTGTTCCCTATGCTGTGCCTTTCATCCCCATGGCTTTTTCATTCCACACTGGAGCCTGTACCTCCCACAGGTGGGAGGTATTTGGGGAGCCCCATGACCACCCATTGCTTTTGGAGCACAAAACAACATCATCCGTCAGTAACATAAAGAATATTCCAAGGGTCACATTCTTGGAGATTGGCTGAAGGTCAGTCATGGTTCTAGGCTCCCCTAAAAGCATGCAACGTTTAAGTCACCAGACCTGCTGCATTAACACATTCTGCGTAGAAGATCAAATTAGAATTTATATGTTAGAATAAGTACCACTGCTACTATATCACAAACCCCCAAATTTCCCTGGGGTAGCCCAGCAAAGCTTTATTTCTTGCCCCAAATCCATTGCAGATATTTCCATTCTGGCAGCTCTCATGGATCTCCAAACAGAAACTCAGGGACTAGGGCTTATTTCATTCTGTGGTTCTATCCTCTTGGAGTCCTTCTCCAATAGACACACAGAAAGCAGAGAAAGCAAGGGCATGGAAGATTATGTAGATCTTTTTTTGACAAGAACTGAAGGTGATGTGCGTCCTGCCTGCTCCCACCCATTGTTCAGATGAGTCAAATGTTCCCACCAAGAGGCAAGAAGGATCCAGGACACTTGTTTAGCTATTTTAGGAGAGGAGATGCAGGTGTCAGTGGACATTAGCAGCCTCTAAAGTCTGGGGCATCAGGTTGAGAGTGGGAGCCAACAAGAGGGTTTGCTGGATAACCTTTTACTGGAGCTGTTGAATTGTTGTTGTCTGAAGCATGAACCCATATCGTAGGGTTCTCTCCCTGCCACGACAACCATCCTGGGGCACACTGGCCAATCCTACCTCTTTGAGCTCCTTTTTTCTGGGTCATATGTGGACCCTTCCTCTCCCAGTTAATATACCTTTCCTGTACTTAAGTTGAGAACAATATTATTGATTGTATTGAATTCCTCTCATTAAAGTCACTGCTTCCTTAAAATACAAGTTCACCTTGATTCTGTTTTGCCATTCCTCAAATAATTTCTTGGGTTTTCTACAGTCAAGTCATCTTAACTTGACTTTGTTATTCTTTTTTTCTGATTATAAAAATAGCTCATGGTCTTTATCGAAAATTAGAGAAACTCTAATTAGAGAACACTCTGGAGCAGTGCCTGCCCAATAGAACTTTATATAATGATGGAAGTGTTCTATATTGTACTGTCAAATACAGTAGCCACTAGCTCCATGAGACTTTTTAAGAGCTTGAAATGTGGTTGGTTCAAGTGAAGACCTGGATTTTTAATTTCATTTTAATTAATTTCAATTTATGTAGCCACATATGGCTTATGGCTGCCCATGTGACTCTGCAGATTCAGAGGATACAATAAAAAACATGCATAGTTCAATCCGTAAATATCAATTGCTAATATTTTAGCATATTTTTCTTTCCACTTTGGTTCACATAGCTGAGACTTCACTGTAAAATTGCTTTTTTTTACTCCTTATGATAGCAAACACATTTTCCTTAAAATCTTATAGAAACATCATCTTTAAAGACAACCTCATATTCTAGTTACACCAAAATTTACTTAACCATGCTGCTGCTGTTAGACACGTACTGCTTCAAGATTTTCACGGTTATAAATAATGATGCAACATACATCTTTGTATATTGATCTTATTGATTTTAGAGATCTACAAAAATTCTACATAAAACTGTATTTGCATTTGAGGTTATTTTCCTAGAGCTGGAGTTGTTACATAGAATATGAACACTTTGAAGCTCTTTACACATGCCTAATTATTTTTCCGAATGACAGTATTCCTTACATTTTAATTTGTCTTTATTTCATTTCTGAGATTTGGAGGACAGCTTCATGGCACAGTACTATTCTTTTTTTTTTTAAACACAGGCTTTACCCCGGCATTCTGACCACAGGAAGCTCCATGAGGGTGAGCTTCCTTGTGGCACATAGTATGGGGCGTGTACATACTTGAGCCATGAAAAAAGTGTCAAATATATTGGGAATAGCACAACCTAACTTCCTTTGGAAATGCTACTAGTGACCCTCTGTCATTATTTAATCATACTCAGTCTTGGGTGTCTCCCTCCCTCCACAGGCTGCTCTTTGTAATGTTCCGTCTCTCATTTTATGGTTCACATTTAGATCCCATCTTCATTGGCACCCCAGACTCTGCCTAGCTTCTATGCCCCTTAACCCAGCTCAGAGCACTGGGTGTGGATCTGTTGAGTTCCCCAGCAAACCCACCTGGTGTGTTCTTGTTTCATTTCCTCACTTACCACTTATCAAAGTTATGAAGAAGTAAAAGTCAGACCTGTGTGAATTTTAACTACTTTTTGTTGCCTCTGGTGAAGACTAGAGAGTAGTGGCTAAAGAGCAGGCAGCAAAAAGATGAAAAGAAACCATACTCTAAATATCCTGGAAAATTGATCCATGAATAATAGACTTTTACCACATTGACTCTCTCCAGCAGCAGGGGATGCACAGACAGGGGCAGGGGATGCACATCCT